AAATCAGCCGTAGTGACTACGCGCACACTGGTTAAAACAGCCGGCGCCACTGGCGTTTCCAGAGCGATGCTTAGCGACCTAGTTACCTTAGGACGCTGCTGCGCGTGGGTTTCTCCTTCGAAATTCCGTCGCGGCCACGCCTGCGGCGGATCATGCGCCGCGCCCCGTCTTCTGCGGACGTAGAAGGTCTCCACGGCCAAGCGGGCCGTGTATTCACCTCGGGCGCGCGAAATCCTTGAGAGGCAGCAACAGCTCATTGCACAAAGCAAAGGTCGCCACGCGCGTAGCGGAGAAATCCACCACGAGCGATTCATCTTGGAAGTGGTTGCCATTGTAGCGGAAGCGTCTGATAAGCCCGGGTATAAGCGGGTTAACTACAAGCGTAACATCTTGAGAGTGTCTGTCATTGTACGAAAGACGTCCGGCCGGTCGTCCTGCCGCCTACGCTGTCGGCGCAGCTGGCGTCCGCGATTCTTGTCGGGCCGAAATCGAACGCGGCTCCTAGCCTAGGATTCGTGCTCAGGAGCGCGGTCTACACGCGTGCCCCGTGCGCCTGCAGGTGCTCCCAGGTTTCACCGGACATTGTTACGCAGCGCAGACATCTTCGTAGAAGTGCAGGTTGCGCGTTGTCCCCGGGGACTGGGATTAGGCAGCGCGCAGATGCCTCGTCGTTTGCGTGCTATCCCAAAGACGCCAAGCCTACATTTAGCGGAAAGCCGTAAGCAGGGGACCAATTTGTCTAGGCGCCAGCCTTCCTTACTTCGAGCTACGAAAGAAGACAGCTGTGCTCTGGTTGTTCTTGAACGTGACCTGCATTCAGCCAAACTCTCCATCGCGTAAAACTCTCCCTCTCCGAAGTCTGAGGTCTTTAAGGACGACTCTATCAGGCAGTGCACGCGTTCTCGATTGCCCAACACCGGTGGACCGCGCGTTTCGGCGAGAGTTGCGCTCCTTTTGAGCCGTTTGCTTGCCTATGCAGACTTCCCCGTGCTCATGTGGCTCTTTCACCTCCTCTGCCGCCCGCTCCCTGCTGGGATCAAATTTGTTTGAAGCTCCTCGCAGCAAATCCGTTTGTCGCCACTGCGACGAATCTGTGGACAGCTGCAAAGTAGTCACAACACGTATGCGTGCGCGCGGCATTGGTGCCGTCGTCCTACGCTAGAGCATGATCTTGTCTTGTGTACGGGTACCATATCGTGTCCTGTTGAGTTGCTGCCGGTGTGAGCTTCGACACTGAGAAGAGAAGCCCAACTTGATAGACACACATACGTATGACCGTGTACAACGCTCAATATAAATCTTTTGCTTGTCGACTCTTCTGTTCTTGCGTAGCTATACACACGCGAGTAGGAGAGTTGACACTTATATGTAGCATATACATACACATATAAAGGATCTTCTCTTCGTGATTCACATGCGCAGGTGACAGCGCAAACACATACACGCATATATATATATATATATATATATATTCTCTAATGTGGACGCACGTGTAGAGCTGTACTAAACTCCGGTACCCAGGGGTTGCGGCAGAAAGCCGCATACAGAAAGGGATTACCGCCGGAGTACGGAACCACATTCATATAGAGGCGAGTGTGTGCGGCTCCTGGGGAGAATACATCTACCTATGTAGTTGAAGGCGTAGGCGTGGCGTAGGCGTGCAGCCTCAATGTTTCAAGTAACAGTCCGCCCGTCCCCTGCGCTGTGACTGTGTCGCTCGACTCCGTCGTCGCCGGCCAAGACCCGCACTCAGGACACAATATTGCTCGGAATTTCTCGCATGAGCAGGCGGCGTTCTCCAATAACCTGACGGAACTCTATAAGCCTGCATTGAGGCCTGCCATTCTGCACAGCCATCGACCCACTCAGCTCCCGGAAACTGGGGAAAGGCTAAGATGCGACTTTGCGTGTAGGGGAGCCTCGGGTGCAGGCGAACCTGAAGCGACGACCACGCCTGTTCGTTGTGGAACTCTGCCCGTTATCACCTCAGTGGAAACTCACAGTTACAGCAGCGATACAGCAGCTGAGGAATCCCGCGAAGGCCACTGTGGCACAGGACTTCAGATGCCGTCGCTTGAGAGTCAACAGATGCCGGGTGTCGTCTGTAGTGCCAGAGCGAAGTACAACATCCTAGATTCTCAACGCGTGTCGAAAGTTCTCTTCGCGGCTTCTCACCACATGCTATAATGTGAGTAGGTGAGCAATCCGCGCACAGGCTACGCAGGAGAGAATGGCTCTTGGGTACAGGACTGACCGGCTCGCCTGCTCGGAGGGGTTGACCTTTCAAGCTAATAACCAGCACTTAATGTTGGCTGGCGGTCGGTCGGTAGACGTGGTGGCGGATAAAGCACTTCTGTACAAATAAGAACAGCTTGTGGTCCGCAGACGCACACCGCCGATTTGGTAAGCTTCTTTCGTCGGCCGTGCAAGCCCTGTGCCCGGGCGAGTTTGCGTGGGCACACATCCTTCATGACACGAAGAAAACTTTGTCTCTTAGCTGCACAGAGGTGGCTAAGCCGTTTTGGGGCATTTCGGGGGTACGGCGCAAAGCTCTGGGGGTGTTACGCTGCCTGCAGCGAGGCCGAGCAAATGCCCGTGTGTCTATCCCAGCCCTCCATCCTTGTACATTAGGCTTGCGGAGAGCCGATCTTGAAGCAAGCCTCGATCTTGACGCAATCCGGTTTTCTGAGCAATCCTCGAGAATCGGCTGTTCGCTGTGAGTCTTTCTCCGCTGAGATCCCGTTCGCGTCATAACCGATATTCGTAGACGCTTTCGTGGCTGCCACAAACGGCAGACCCCCGTTTCAGGCGCAGCAGTTCAATATTACGAGCCCTACACTGTGCTGTCTTCTTGCCCAAGGTAGCAGCTTCGCCTAATGACGCCGTGGGGTGCACCTCAGGCCGAATGCTCTGCTGCAAAGAAGTTGAGCGGGTGGCCACTAAGATGTATATCGCCGCCGCAGAGGAGATCACAGCTAAGTGAATTTGCGGACGGCTGAATCTGGGTGGCGCGAGGGCGCTACTGCTACACCGTGTGAACCTCGGGAGACGCGAATCCAGCAAACGCTCACCTGGGCTCACCATTGTCGCGCGCCCAGCTGCCTGCACAGGCGGCAGTCGACCGCCGCGCGATGTTCTACGTCTTTGCGGTTGCTGACGAAGTCCTCGCCTTATAGCTTCAATGCCGCGTTGCTTGCCAGTCACGTGTTGAACTGACGCCCACGAGCATAACAGCCTGCCTATCGCAGCAACCTCACCGACTGCTGCATCACGGGTCGTCGATTTCGCCGACATGAAACGGACGAAGGGAGCTTCTGTGCTTGAGACTCAGGCGGGCGAAGCCCCGGTTGACGTTCGCTTCGCGCATCCGTGACGCGTGGGTAAGTGACTGACTCTAGCGGCAAACCGGGATGAGTGGTCTACTTCGGATGTTCACGAAGGTGTACAGAACTGGCCCCTCCACACCGTATGTCGGGGCCTCGCTGCCGCCGACACGCTCTAACGATTGCGGCAGAGCCTACAGATGGTCAAGGCTCCTACGGACGAAAAGAGGCTCTGTTTCCTGCGGCTGAACCACAGCCCCCTTAGCGCAACCCTCCAACACTGAAGTGACACACGCGGCCAACAAGGAGCTGTGATACGGGCTGCTTGTGCGGTTGCTTCTTAACAAGAGTAGAAGGCTGCAAGGGCTGCACTCAGTGTTAGGAGGGGCGAGTGGAGCTAGGTAACCGGTGGAGACATCTGTCCATCAGACTTCCCGAGCAGTGAAAAAGGAACATCTTACAGAATGCCATTCCTGCATGCTTTACGCGTATGTGAGGATCCCCGAACTCTGCGCCGGACCGTGCCGCCCTCGGGTCTCTGCTCGCGGCTGCCGCGACACCGTCCTTGCGCCCCCTCGCCTTTTAGGGGTAGGCATTCAAGCCTCAATGCAGAGCACTGAAGAACGCCCCTCCGCTCGTTGCTAGTGCTGCAGGGCAGGGCGCGCGCCCGGGTCGTCCCCAAGAAGCTAGAGAGCGGGCTCCGTACAGGCTGTCGCACTTGTCTACGCGCGACCCCTGATATCCTTCTCCGCGGCCTCTCGTTGCCACCGCAGTCACTCGACAGGGGTAGTAAGGTACAATATAAGCTCTGAGGCAGTACTTCGGGACCCTCGCTTGCTCTTTCGCAAGCGTCTACAAGCTTTACTGTCACTCTTGACCCGCAAAGCGTCAGCTGAAAGCAAAATTGTATGGAAGGTATGAGCATCCATATTCTCCGCCAAGAGCTCGCGCGTGCTTGTTTTCCCTGGATTAGCATTGCGTGTAACGTCGATGGGCACCGGCATTGAGATAGTATCGTCCACTGGGTTATGAACGGGCCGAAATGTTAAATGCTCTTTTTTGCCCAGCGGCAGCAGCCCTCATACGTCGAAGACGTTCGCTGCAGGGTCGGCGGGGACTATCGACGTGCAGGTGCCACGTCCAGCTGTCACTGCGTGGACCGCTGTATACGACGCCTGTACGGCAGCAGGCCGGCCACTAACCTGAAGAATGTCTTTGTATCTAGAACAACCGTCGCTACCTGGCGCTATAGGAGGCACGGCAAACTGTTAGAGATCCTTTTCAGAAACCTCCTACTCCAAACGAGAAAACATGTGCGCTCTCTCGGAGGAGTTTCGCGAGGGCCTGTGACCCACATCCGGGTTCGCCCTGTGCGGCAGTACGCGCGAAGCGCGCTTAGAGAGACTCTCTCGCGTGGCCGCCAGCGTTGTTTCGCACACGGCGTATGTCGGGCTGGAGCGCGGCGAAATGCTACAGGAGCGTCAACTTCAACGGCATTTCCGGGGCGCCCCTGATGGCTTAACCTCTACTAATCTTTAAACATGTCCGGCATTTTACCGGCGGTAGCTACGACGGGAGGTCCAGTGGCAGATACGCCCTCCCGTGCTTGGGACAACGAGAGCGGCGGAGCAGCATCTTGACCATCACACGGGGTGATTCTCCTTCAGCGGGGACAACTACTGACGCATTGAGCCTGGCGAGGTGCTACCAATGCATTGGCGAGCTATTAGCGGAAGACAATGCGGGTAGGCGTATGGGAGTGCACGGTCAGACGCCGACACGCGCTAGAGTATGGAAACCCTCTGCGGAAGTCGCCGGCGCTATCCCAAAGGACCGTGTCGCCGTACAGGAGACCCAGCACGGATCACCCGCGCACAATGGCATTTCCGGCTGCTCGCCAGTGTGCCAGCATGCAGCTGCACTATCAATGCTATCCCGCACACGTGTGCACCCACGCGGAGCCACATGCGACCGTCACCGTGGAAGTAGGCGTAGATTCCCAGGCGTTATGTACGCCTTAGACAGGCGTTGACGCTACGGCGCAGCGGCACCTGCCCCGTTCGTGCCGCAGGCGTACAAATCTTGTCGGTTGCATCGGTCGTCTTCACTGCTTTCCACAGTCGTGAGAGCTAGTACATTGGCTTCTAGTCTGTGCCACTGGCACCTGCTGCCTCACCTCTTCCTTGTGCACAATTTGGCATAGCGACCCCGCTGCGCCTGTGGTAGAGCATGGCTTGTTGTTGGTTCAGTCCTAGAGTGCGAAATCACGTCATATGCCTTGTGCATCCCCATATTACGCGACCGTCCTCTGATCGCGTTAGCAGTGCTCAATGGATGTTCCACAGAAGAACTCTTTCAGCCGATATAGGTGAAAGGCCACCGACCGGTGTTTCTACGCTCAGGTGGTGCCACGGCGCCCGCGTCGAGTAAAAGTACCTGCATTGGCCGCCGCGCAAGAGGCAGGAGCATACCGGTGCCGACGCAGCCCCAACGGCATACTCTAATATCGCAGCAGGCGCAGAGTAACGGCAGTGTCTTACAGTAGTGAAACTCGGTGCTTGACTGCAGTGCGGGGGCTGATTCGGACCAGCTCCAAGCAGATCACCAAATTTATGCGCGGCCGAGGAAGGAGGCAGCGCTTATACTCATACGTGCCCCCGCTAGTTTCTCCGCGCGGAACGGCGCCGGCTTCTAGGGGGCTTAACGTCCCACGCGGGTTTAGGGACAGGCATGCACAGCTTGCATATGGACGCGACCTGAAGACAGCCAGCCGTTTTGCGGTCAGCGAAAACATGTGCAAGGCAGCCGGCGCGGCAGCGTGGTAGACGTCCAGTACGCTCTGAGGGCAACCTGTCCACACAAGAATCATACGATCATCAAAGACGTTCAGGTCCCTGCTGGAATAGTGACGTCGCCAGAGCTCGTGCTGTAACCACACGGGGAAGCCGAACTCCCGTCAGTGGCCCTTCCACAATCTAGTCCATTTGCCACTCCCCACGTGACGTTTCCAAGACGCATTCTCGGCACCGTGTCCGACATGCGCCTCCATCGGTCATTGTCGCGCTCGAGCACGTGCCTTTCCTCACGTGGCTCTGATGGTCTTGTTGCGTCGGAACGCGTCCCTGTCTAGCGGAGCTTTAAATCTGACATAGGTGCGCAGGCGCAGCGTAAGACGCTGGGTCACTACCAGAGAGGAGTGCCCCCTGCTCTTCCACTGCTCCAGCTGGATACCTTTGCCTTTAGAACCTCGCCTCATTCTCTTTCTCCGAATCGTGCATACGTGTAGTACAGAAATCATATCGCTGCAGGCACTCTATATAGACACTATGGAAGACACCGCCGTTGAGCAACATAGCATATGTTTCACGGGCATGCTCAATCTTTGCGTGTCGCGCGCTCCCGCCACGTTGTCCGACCAAAGTGCGGACAGACCTGTCCGGTCGCCGGTCCGCCAAATGAATCAAGGTTGAATTCAGCGCTGGCGTCCGCTGATGACATAGCAGCGTGCAGGTTTGTATGCCGAACGGTCAGACTACGCATTCACTCTCTTTTTTCGGCAGCGCGGGAACTAACCCCCTAGCACACGGCCCGTCAGGTGTTCAAACACCTCTTAGCTCCTGGGGTGTAGTGGGCGACCGTCGCCAGCGGAGCGGCATCGCTTCAACTTCGTTGACACGACAGGACTTTTCTGAGGACTGCGTTCTGTTCGTGCCCAGTCTGTGGACGCATGCGTTCCACGAGAGGGTCCCGATCACGTAATGCCGAAAGGTATTCCAGCCTGCGCGCTTCTTCCACTGCAGGATTCACAAGGGGTACCGCCTTCGTCAATACCACTCGGTGAAGACGCCCTGTCCCGCCTTCTCCTGGGAAATCCAGATCAGCGGTAGGACCCCGCAGGTACGTACATATTCATGTACGTAGCGTCGCCCTGATTGAGCTTTCTAGTGGAGGTGCTGGCGTGTCAGATCATTTGCTCCGTAACTACAAAAGCGCACTACTTGTCGGCTTACGACGAAGCCGGTCTCTGATTGTTGTTGACCAGATCCTACGTAGGGGCACGTGTGCACGCCGCTTCAGGTATACCGCGTCCTATTTGCAGTAGAGAGCGCCGGTCGCGTGCCTGCCCCTCCTCGGCTGCCTCTTTAGACCCTCGTGATCCCCCCGCAGCTGTGATGAAACCGACCGGGTCCGTACCGCCACGAGAAAGCGTTCGGGATTCCATTGACTGCCGTCGGCGCCGAAAGCGATACCGGTCCTACACTCCCACTACAAGTGAACTGACACTTCCGGAAAGCGTGCGCGGCAAGACGAATCTTCTATTACAGCGCTTCATGTGGGCAGAACCGTCGCCCCCTGCCGACGTAATGCACGATACCCTATCCTGCGTACGCCTCGGCTGGCATTCAGCATCGTTCAAGGCTTCTAGAAGGACATCCTGCGACGGCGTCCTGCGCATTTGAAGGCTCAGCAATTGTAGGCATGCTCTCTTAGAGTGCGCACGCAGTGACCTGCTTAGGTGTTAAGGCTCCTGTACCATCACGGTACCGTGAAACATAAATCTTTCCTCACACTGCATTGATTCCGTGGTAGCAGACCACCGTCTCGGGACTGTGCTGTTATTCGCCTTGAACAGATGCTGAAAGCGTGGAGCTCGCCGCGCCCCTTTGCACTTAAACACAATGCAGATCCTGAGACGCGCATTCACATGACAGAACCGTGAGTCTACTTCACAAAGCGAAGAAGGACGCCTCCTTAGAGCCTTACTAATCAATTCAGCGCCTGAGCATTTACTCCCGTCACGCAGGAAGACCCTGGAGCCGCTGCGAGGCTCCTACTATGCGTTACTGGCATTAGGCTGTCCCGTTCCTACCAAAGCTGACCGTCTCTCGCCTCGTCGTAGCTGTTACGCCACCCAGGGTGTGCACTGCGGGAGCGGACGAGGCTCGCGAACAGGAAACGACAACGCCGTGAGGTGCAGTGGTGTCCATCCGGTGAAAAACGCAACTCTGTTTCTGCAGACGGGCGGTAGGATAGACAGTGGAGGGCCCAAAGTACTTGGACGAGGAACGGTTTTGCGCACCGTCCTTGACGCAGCGTGTCCATCAAATGCGCAGAGTCAGTAAGTTCGTAACGCTCTGCCTGAGCCTGTTCTTGCATGCAGCGGGAAGCTGGGCGTGCCGAGCACAGCTCCTCTCCGTGACCAGTCCTATGCCGTTCTGAAGCCAGCGCCACCCCATATTTTGCCGAAAATACCTGATCCCTGTTACTGCCTAAAGTCCGTAATGCGACTAAAAGCTAGTGTGATACAGAGTTGTACGTGTCCTGTCAAATGTGTGTCACTGAGCGCTCACGCATCCCGCGTTGTGTAGAGTTCCCGTACCAGTATCACAATTAGCTTTGCGCAGGCGTTTTACCGTCTACTCACTCGTAAGCACCCCTCTCTCTTCTTCCCTTATTTGGCTGTGTTGTTACCCTGCCTTTGCCACGCCGGAAAATCCTCAAACAATTGGTCTTGCACGCAGCACGCGCATTTGACACACAGCGGTAGAAAGACAAATGTAACTGCGAGCCTTACGCACCAGATGAGGTGGCTGACCACCGTTAACCTCGCAAATGACGTCTCGTATCACGTGCGTTTGCAGGGCTGGTACAAAAGTAAACAAGGCGGAAAGCAAATAAAGCCACGGCTGCCATGCCTTCCTTCTAATAGTGCAGGAGCGAGTAACACTCAAAGTAGGAGTCCTGCACAAACGTGTGGTCAGCTCTCTGACACTACTCTTTTGTGGTTTCCGCCGCCTTTTCGGCGCCCGCGCCACACACACGGGTGCTACCAATCCATCCTGCTAGTCGAGCAGAGCGGACAACTTGTGCAGCAAAAACTCTGCTGGAGTTCCCTTTAAGGCTGAGGGCACTTTACACGTTGTACACCGCCAGTCAGCGCCACGTCCCACACCGGTGATTGAACGCGACATTGATACAGGTGGATGAACGGCCAGTGGTACCCGCTGGAGATAAGTGCACGTTATTGGAATCACCCGTAGGGGTTTCTGGTATAAAGCGCTGAGCCGCTCTGGACGGCGCACGTCGTCCCCTAGGAGGCACCAGATGGCGTGTACCGCGTCCGTTGCAGAGAGTCCGCATAAAACGATAAACCGCTGCGCGCGCCGCGCAGTCCCCGTCAATCTCGTTTTCGTCTCACTTCTTCCTACGCAGTTGCGGCACTTCAACCATGAACGGTCTTTTCGGAATGCGAGCCGCTCGCAAGTGCGGAGCGAACGTTGTGGCCACAGCACATTCTTGTAGCTCCACATCAGTCGCACTTATAGCATTGTAAGGTGCACTCATGACGGCCGACCACGCCTCCGTTCACGCCGTGAAGAAGGTGGTGATATGGAGGCAGTTTGGACTCAACGAAAGGCACTGACATTGCGTAGGTCGCCCGTGCGCCGGCAAAGTACGATTTGTCCGGGACCGGCCCGCGTAGCCATGACCCCTCAGCTACTGTTGGAAACCGTTGACGCAGGGTTTCGATGTGCTGACGGACTGCAGAGGGATTACAACGCCTGCCGCATACGCCAAAAGTGATGGCATGCATTTTTGCGAGCACACTGAGTAGTGTGGAGCACCCGCCTGGCCTGGATAGGAGTCTTTTCCGATGCAAGACTTCCGCATGACTGTGACTGGATTCTCGGAACAGCCTACTGTGTCAGCGCCACTTCGTTCGTAGACACGTTCCACCGTTAACACTCTTGAATCCCGCTCATCAAACCAAGCCCAACTCTTACGTAACCCTGGCCCTTTTCTTAGAACTCCACAACGCTCTGACGTCACTGGCGCTGCAACACGCTCTCCGACCCGCTTCCAAGAGGTTCTTACCAGGCCCACTCCGCATGAAACAGTGGTGCCGGCTACATCTTCAATAGTTCGTTTTCTCCTATATCGGCATTCCAGCTGCCTCGCCGGTGTTCCTTACAGCTTCGGAGGGGCACGGAGATTCTCGCCCCTGTCAGACGTGTACGGTGAGCAGCGTTACGTGGTGAAACTAAATTCCGTTTTTTGTATTCTGCAAAATACCCGTTAGGAGAATCTATTTCACCAGACACTGTCTTGGTGCGAGGCAATCTACGTCCACATACATCACAAGCAGCGTTGTGAATGACCTGGTCCTTTCGAACCCGAGCGGGGAAGGAGCTCCACAGGAGCTCGTGAAGCTCCGCCCAGCATCCCACGTGACTCAAATTCCTACAAATTGCCCCTTCAGCTGGTACCTAAAGTTTTCCTGAGTCGTCAACGTATCACCCGCTATTGACACACGAGAGATTACTTGGAGTTGCTATTTTCCAGAGGTACACTTGCCAAGCAGGTCTGCGAACCCCGCGTCGACCAACTGTTAGGCGGCGCCTACCTCGCGCGTCTTCTACTCCAGTTACGCAAGGAGGCCTACTGAACCCCACAATAACCGGTGAAAACCCGTGCTTTTACTGCACCAACGCTAGTGAATCAGCTGACGCAGGTGCACGACACCTCTTACCGACGCCATGAAGTAGCGTCAGTCCATGTGCGAGAGCAAGAGCCAGCTGACTGCTACCGCCACCCAGAAAGCGCTACAACCACCAACGTGAGATCCTGCAACGGCAGGCGCTCAAGCCTGCTCTCGCACAGACCTAGACGGCTGCAGAGGCTGCGGACGGAGTAGCAGATGGCAGAGTAAGTTAAACGTGGAACAGCTCGAGTACTCGACTCACTCTCTGCCGAACGGATCTGGCGAGCGCTGAGTATTACTAGAAAGCCTGATCGCGTCAGAGTCGCCGCCCAGCAGCGTACTGGAGCACAAGTCGAGCTGGGATGCGGAACACCCGTACGCGGCGCTCGACTCACAACAAGGGTTTCTTTTGCTAATTAGCAGTGAGAATGAAAATGTCAAATGCTTCTCGATGTATTTTTCGCCGCCGTACATATGGACAGTAGGGTTGAGTGCTTTCCTCACCACGGCGCCCGGGCTTCCATACCTCGCCAGTCGACATCAGCGGCAGTCTCTCTTCTGAAGATTCCCCCACCCAGGTGCTAGCATGTGTGACAAGTGGACGAAGGGGGGTAAACTTAGCAGCCCGCGTAAAGGCACAATTCTTGGTAGTACGCCGCCGACTGCCGCGACAGCCCGCTTGCACGTGTCCTTGCTTGTGCAGAACAATGCGTTTTTGAATCGCGGACAGCATGCAGTGCCCGAAAGAGCTATTCTTTATAGGATGCACTAGTGCTGCGGAACGTGTGCCCCTGTGACTGGAAGTCGCACGCCAGGGCACGGCAGTGAGTCCTAGTGAGAACTACTGCATTGAGTGCGGCAACCCCGTGCCGGCCACGAGGCGCGTCAACTGTTAAGGGGTGCGCCTCTTGTGCCGTGGAGGGGGGGTGCGACAACGCTGAGACACGGGCAAGTGGGAATCGTGTCCGCAAACTAGCCCACCAACCACTCTGTCCACTCTGAAAAAAAAGCAGAGATTCCTTACCCGCCGCTTCATAGTAAGCCGGAAGAGGAAAGACTACCTGCAAAATGTTTGTCATGACTGCGGCCAGGGCTTTGGACTCTCAGCAGGCACCACAGGCGCAGCGCAGAAGCTGATGCGGTCGCTCAGATCCCTAAGACGGTCAAGAGGCGTACACTCAGTTGCGGTACATGCGCTCGTAACACGTGCGTAAGGAAACTCTGCACGTCGTACGCCGCTGCCTCCGTCAGCGGCTACACAACGCTGTCGCGTCCGCGCGGTAGCTGCGAGACTGACGTAGCTCAGAGCCACCGCTTTGATCTCCAGACGTCGCATAGAGTGCGACCACCATGCTTGCTTTCATGCGGTGCCTCCCCATAGAGTGAGGCAGTGGTTAGACGCGTTCGTCGGAAGAGCTGTGCGGCGACGAGAGACAAACTACATCACGGGCGCTCGGTCTGAAAAGCTGCTCTGGACACACATTAAGAAAAAGTGGCAGCGATACTCCGACGCGCGCCTCTCACCATATTGGCAGCCTTCTATGCCCGTACATAAATTGCTGACGGCAGCAGGCAGGAAACGCCTGCAGCTCCCTCGTTTCGATGCTGTGCAAGGACTAGTGGTCTTAGAATCTGATGCGGCCTGTGCCCCAACCGCATGCTATATTCGTTGGAATACACAACCTTTGTGGACTAGGCAGGGGTGGCGGTAATGTTGTGTTTATCATGCGCAGCGCACCGCTGTCTACGTCCAAGCTGGTCTAGAAGTCAACAGTCATGCATTCGCCTGCCTTTCGGACCTCCTTGCCCCGCGCTTCATGGCCGCACGCCGACCTCTGCCAGTCCGCGCTGACAGGCTCTGCGGGATAAGCCGGCCCGCAGAGAGCTGCTAAAGGAGCTCGATGTTTTCCTATCTATGCTGTACTCGGACTCGCGAATTGGTTCGCGGGAGCCTTCCATGCTCTCCTTGAGGCCTTAGCGTTTGCTTCGTCGGTCGTCTGGAGATGTTTGAACGCTCAGCAAACTTCTGCTGCACATGCCACCTCGAGGAATCGACGCTATTCCGTGAGTTTAGTTTCGCGTAGTTGTGATTCTTGACATTCTGCGCTCGCGTTCTGTAATAGCAGCCAGGCTGCCGATAAAATTGTGTGGTGGGTCATTGCAAAGTTCACGTTGGCAAACATAGACGGCGGTGTCTGGCGTAGTGCGCGGGGCCCTACCGCAGGACGGCACTTGGTTGCTGCAACTGTAGTGCCCTGTACAAAATACATTTTCCTGTGCCTTTCCGATATGCCGACAGGAACTAAAGTGCCTCAACCGTGCTCCCTTATGTCAATCCCGTTCACGCGGAAGAACGCCCAACGGGGCTGCGCAAACGGCTCTACGCCCTGAGTCCAGCAAATACAGCGGAAGCGAAATTCGTAGCGCTTGATTCATATGCGCATGACAGGAGCACATCCCGTGCTTCTACTGCGCTAGACGACAAGGGTTCCTTACGCGTAGCTAGTCTCGCGCTTCACTTTTCATAAGCCGTGTCTGTTAGTCGCTCGACGGCAGGTGTCTAGTGGGCTTCCTGCAGTAAGCACAGTCGACAGAACAAAGCATTCGCACCTGCCTTCCAATCGTAGACAGGGTTCTCAGGCTCCGGCTCCATGAAGTCCTACGTCCTCTGAGGAGCGCGCAGTAGATGCTCGCACGCTTTCTTCCTCCCTTCTCTGTAGAGACCTGCGTGTAATGCCAGGTCCGCCCTGGGTTGGGCCAGAGCGGACACCGGTTCCTCGTGCGACGAGCCCAGAGGAGATTCAGGAGTTTAATTCGCCGAGACAGTACGAATCGGAATTAATTTCTACTGTCTGAGCGCATAGTAACTGCTTCCATACGTATGGAGCCGCTGACAGGCTGAGGAACCGTCGGGAATTTGGCTGCCGAGTCGAATGCGTTGCACTGCTTGTTTACTTCCAGTTGCCTGGGCCGATCACGCCCCTTAGGATTTAATCATGATCCAGCAGCCACAGCAGAGTCGAAGGGGCAGCGGGTCGGCATGTGTGGGCTGCCCACGGCTTGCAAAAATGGTGGGCAAATATAGCGGAGCTCCGACTGCACCCGGCCTTGCGAGCGATCGTCTCCTGGCCCTCTGGGAAGTCTCACTTACGTTGCTCGACCTACTCGTAGCAGCAGGCTTCGCATGCCTGTACGCGGACCGACCCAGCCGCGTCCTTCAATGTACGCAGTGCGTACTCTGCGCTTCTCTAGTGCTAAATTTTTTCCTCTTCCTCCCCGCTTCCGCAGGAGGATCGCTGCAGCGCCTGAGATCCTGTTTGAAAGTGATTTCCTCGAGACGCACTCATTCTGCTGTACGCGGCAGTTCATGAACTGCACGGGGTTCGCAAGCATACTGTAGTGCGAAGCAGGTTGTGTTTCCGGCAGGCTGTTTACTTCTATCTGGAGAAAAATATTATTATTCTGCAAAGCCTGTGGTTCCCTGCTGTGCGCCGCACACCACTCACCGGTGCGCGTCCCCGTGAGGTGCCGGGAAACGTGACATTCGCCCTGGCAGCGTCTCTCGTGATGTGACGAAAGCTTACGCTGTCACGAAGGCGGAAAGCGATGTCGGGAGATGCGTCGCAAACAGTCCGCTTGGTATCCAATGAGCGCAGTATATGTCGTGCCGAATTCTTCACGAACAGCAAAGCAGAAGACGCGCTGATCGTACACGACGTATTATGACCATCGCCCACGTGCTATAGCTTCGCTTTTAGGGCCGACGGCCTCAGCCTGATTGTGAAAACACGATGAACTGTTGATGAGTGCAACACAATTATCCACACTGCAAAACAGTGCTCTCGCTCGTAGCATGCTGGGCGCGAAATTGCTTTCACGCGCTTGTCCGCTTGCCTTTAAACGGTAACCGGCATGATGACACCAGTCCTGACACCCTGTGCAAAGTATATGGCAGAGGCACTCGGTGAAGCGAAGCGTGCGTAGTACTTAGGGCCGCATGTCGGCACGACAGGTATCCGTCACTCCCGTGTTCCGCTGTCTTCCTTGTAACAGGCGGATCATGCTACAGTGTGCAGCAAAGGGTCAGACGCAAATGCGTCGGGGTAGATGACGTGGCATGCTCGTACGAGCTTCGGTGCTTCTGCTTTGCGGATTGTCACGGACCCCTGCGCCGGAGCTGAGAAATTTGCTTCTCCACCACACCATGTGCATACGTCGGACAGTAATGATTTATACGGAGCGCCGTGGTAACATGGTCGGCCCGCAAAGAGTGAGAGAACGCTATCGACCGTTGTGCGGCCTTCCGCTTCACGTTACTTCGTCTAGGCGCGGAAGTATGGAGCGGCTGAGTAATGTTCGTTGCTTCGTTGAACCTACTTCCTCTTGACCCTGAGGACCACGTGTATGATCATTGACTGCACGGTGGCTCGGAAACTGAAGGAACCGTCGTGGGAGCTGAAGCCTGAGTGATGGCAGCGCACTCCCCAGGTAATTACCGCTTTGGCGAGCAGTGCCACATTGCTGTGCAGCCATATAAGTCACGTACGTCGTTGCTCGTCTATTTGTTCGGCGCTTCCCTCCCGGCACTCTCTGCTGCGCGGCCCCTTGGCACCCGAAAGCAAGTCTCATCGGCTATACGTTATTACAGTGGAGTCGCACATAGCAGCGCGGAAGAGGGGCGACCGGCTGCAACACACTTACTCGTAGAGAGTCTTGATTGGCTTCCAAGTTCGCCAAAGCGAAGCCATCACTGGTGCGCCCCGCCTTGTCTACTTATTTGCCGCGGAATTTCACAAGCGGAGTAGTCTGTGCCGCAACCCCGGCGACGGTACCTTTGCCCGTCTTCTCGGCGGCGGGAACTGTCCACTATAAAGCTCGCTTCGCGTGCGACATCAGTTTACTTCACGAAGTCGCCCTCTCATATTTGTGGCCGTTGAACGGAGGACGCAGCACGGCCGGTCGCACGTTGGTACCGCCAACGTCCTCGGTGATCCCCAGCACGTTCAGCATAATCAGAACTTGGACTGCCGATCCAAGAAAGCCATTGCGTCTTGACCAGTGCAGCGACGCAGTCGTGCTCCAGTAATCACGCTGAAGGCTGCTGTGATTCCAACACCGACTCCGCACTTGTAAAAGGCGCGCACCTCCTCCTGGACGGCCAATCGACACACGCCACCGTCTGTATAACTTGAGGCACCGCTGGTGTGGTACCAAGCACTCGAAAATGCTGTTACCTTGGAAATCAGTCTCTACCGCCGAGACCGAGTGTGCATAAGCCTTCAAGTAATGCATGTAGGAGACGCTTACAGAATGCGGAGCGCTCTCCCCCAACGTAGGGGCGGCGGGGCGTCTGCGAGCCTGCTAACGTATATTGCAGACCCATGTTCTGCCCCGGTGGAGAGTCCTTTACACTGAAGCTTCAGCGCCACCTCCAGAAACGACGTATACGCAAGAGCTCGCGTGTCGACTTCTGCCGTGCCAGTGCGGCCAATGAGCTTCGGTCTTCGGTCCTTCCACAGCTGCCGGTGTTGGTGGATCCGCTAAGCCGAATTCGATGTGCTGGTTGCTTTCCGTTAGGCGCAGCGGCATCATCACTAAAGCGCGCACTTTGTAACCTGAAGACGTCAGATCCCTTAACCAGAGATTGTCGTCTCGTGGTGTCCAGACGCAGTCGATCTTCAAGCGATCGGTGTCCGTGTAGCATTCACTCAGTCGGTACCCTCTCAGCTCTTCACAGTCGCGCGCATTACTTTTTGTCGCGCTCCTGCCTTTTGGGGAGGCCTCGTGGCAGTGCTCCGGAGAAGGCACTCGGACACACTGGTACCCCGGGTAAAAATTTAGAACATCAAGGATCCCAGCGACAGCGACCGCCTGAGTGACGTCGGCCACACGTAGGTGCATAGATAGAGAGCTTCAGGCATCTAACGTTACGCTGATGGATCCTAGGGCGTCGGCTGCATACGTAGGCAGTGGGTAGGTATCGCTTGTAGACTTAGTTTAACGACAATCGACCGACAAGGATTCGCCAGGCGCGAAGTACCACTGCTGATACTAGTGCGCTGGATGTTAATGCACACTAGCAGCGGAAGCGAGCAGCGAATTTGTGCGTCGCCCACATCGGCTAGAACCTCAGCCGTGTTGTGGCAGTTCAGACAATGTAGCAGATGCGGACAGCCTGAGAGAGCCACGGATGCTGCCTCAACTCGATATTGCACCGCTTAGAGCTGTCATCAGGCAGACATAGGGGCTTTCTGTCACGGATACCAGGGTACACCTGGAGATTACAGCGCCCCGCACGAAGTGCCGCACAGCTGGGGCGTCGCGCCTCTCACATACGTCTTTCGCAGTGGTTCCTATTTGCATTGCCACAGCTGCCTGGTGCGGGAGGTGGCTTTGTGCTTGTTCAGCCTGTGCGGCCTGCCGCTTCCGTCCCTTTGACTTTGCTGTAGGGGGGGCTTCAAGTAATGACCATAGAACCATTCTTTTGTCTTTTTGCTAGCTCACGCCACGTCAGTGTCTGTGTCACGACCGTAATGGGCAAACCCCTTACTCCGGAGAACGCTAGTGGTTCCGCTCACCCTGGCAGAGCCCTGCTGCCAGTCACCTGAATGCATGCGTATACAGCATGTACTTTCTCTTTGCTGAACGCCTCTGCCAGCGTCGACGCACAGCCAGTTTCGCGTACGCGAACGAGGCGGGCTGTCAGTGACAGCCTAGAGGATTATTCGCCAGGCCAGACGCTGTTTACGACTCGTCGGCTACTTCTGATAGACGGAATGCTTCCGTCCTTTCATGTCAGGATGAAAATTTGCTCGGGCCCTGATCACAAGGCACAAATTTTTGGCGCAAGCGGACGTACCCGAGTTGTACTCCCCTGTGCCGGCAGCTCCACTCCTGAGTGTCGGCGTGCTCAATTTTTTGAAGGCCTGGCACAGCATTAGGACGGCAGCTGTTTGAACGGCAAGTCAGCCGCAGAGTACAGAGACTATACTAGTAGAGGTTGTATCGCAGCGGCTAACTGAATCCTCGAGCGCATACGCCTACCACCCCTGAGATAGCGCGCTCTGCTACATATTATCGAAATGCAGCTCTGAGCGAAGGCAGTCAGTTACTGAGCTTGATAATCTGGTGAAGCGGTTTCGTTCCCGTTGCTGCTCTGCTACGCGAGCTGTGCAGCGCCGCCTTCCAAGGACAGCGAGGGGCCGGCGGCGTGTAATTAATGCTTGGTGTTCAGCATCGCATTTCACCAGTTGCTGCATATTTCACGATGTTAAGTGCATCAGGCGGCGCGCGAACGTGCAGGATGATACCCCAGGAGTCCGTCCACGCATCTGGGAGACGGCGGGAGACTCTGCCGCACACGCTATAGAATCACACGCTGTCTGAGAGAACGCAGCTCGCGTAAGCTCAAGTATCACAAGCCTGCTAAGTACTGTAGGACACGAATCTGGTGGACGTGCTTGTTGCAATGTCGAGGAGGTAAGCCGCTTGTTTCTGCACTCTCGAGCGCAGACATTGTCAGCGCCTAGAAAATACGGAAGCCTTTCGGCAGCTCTCCTCCGAACGCAGGCCGCAAAAAGGAGGGCTGCGACAGCCCTCACAGGTCCTTTCGTCAACCGATTCAGCAGTCGCAGATCAACTCTCCGCCACTCGATGGTGACGCTATGCGTTATACACCTTCTTTGTACTCAGAGGGAAATGTTCTTGTCGTTTCACACACCGCCCTCACAAGCGCTAAGGAAGGCCGTTGTAGGTAACTTGTCTGTTGTGTAGCAGTAGGAGCCTCCACTTGCCCTTCAATTTGCGAGCTGCATGTACCCGTAGACCGACAAACAATATATACGGTGGCAGTTGGTCTGCGCAAGGATCTAGGAGCGGCCTACCATGCGTGCACCGGAATTTCGACCACCGGCCCCGAAGTCCACGGCGATTAACCGGTGCTTTGCATGTAGACGTGGTTGACCCGGTTACCGGAAGGCTACGGCGTAGAGGCGTTCTCGATGCTGGCCCAGGGCCCGGCGCAGGTTTCCCCAGATTTCACCGAACTTTGTGACAGCGTTCAGGGCCTCTACGAAGCGCTACTACGTGGAGGGGGCACAGTGAGCAGCGGAAATGCGGACCTCGGCCACTAGTAGAATATGGTGGCGCCACGTCTGCGGCTGTACGGGAGCATCAACACAGTTTTCTGCCATCTATATGTTGGGTTCATATTGACGAATTGTTTTGGGCGCCAACGGAGTTCCTCAGCACCACAGACGGCTTTTACAGATTTGCCACCTCCGACTACGACCGTCTGCATTACACGGCCGTAGACGCTGGCTCCAGGTGCTACCTTCGTTCCTACAGAGGCTTGTGCGCTCTTGGAGGCGGCCAAGCTCGTACGCACACGCCCCACCCCGGTATGATGTCAATTAGGAATGCCATCCGGCAAAGCAATTTCGAACTCAACTCTGTGAGCGCTTTGAGAGTCTCGTACTGCTCAGTGCTTCCCTTCTTCCACGGGAAGGTCAAGAATACTTTATTGTGCGACGCAGTATCTCTCTTCTGTATCCTTCAAATCTACGGTGCTCGTCGACGACTGTTCAGCGGGCTGCTCGGCAGCCGTAGCTTCTTCGCAGCCCTCTGTTTAGGTATCGCCTCCGCGGTGCTGTTTGAGCTCCTTCTCCACCGCCCCAGCAGACGCGACAACAGAGCAGGTTTCTTTCGTGGAAAGGCCCCACGTGCTCTGGCTGCCGCGCTACCTTATCGTATTCCGCGACGGAGGCTTTTCCAGGCTGTGTCTGCGTTCGCAACGCCCTCGCAAGAGTGGACTACCTGAACTATAGAACGAGTCGCTTTCACATGCAAGGGCTCATGCAATTGTGTCTTTCACAGTTACGCGTACAAAACGGACATCTGCTCTCGCTCTCCTCTCAAAGGAGCATCTTGCGCACCAGATCCGTGTCTCTGTACTTTGATCCCGGAGGCTGTAGACGTAACCTTACCTGAGGTCCGCAGAGCTATCAGGAGTTGAGCGAGATCAGGCGTTCAGAACGCCTGTCGTGTCCAACTACTGGTAGGCACTCTCTTGCGTAGCTAGGTCCGAGACAATCGGTGGTGCAGCGCAGGCCGCCCGCGGGTCTCTGTCGCTGAGTGGAGCTTTGCCGATATCCGCACGTTATTCACTGTCTGGCTAGTAGACCCACCGCTTTCCTTTTCCGCGCTGCACGGCGAGCCCTGATCTGCGTTTGCAGGCTGGAGCGAGCGCACAACTGAAGCGAATAGAAGTCTATGTTTGACAACTTCTGGCCTTTCGCACACGACGCGTATTCAGCATTAGGAACACACGAGGTGTCGTAAGGGGCACAGCATGTGCAATCTCTTTGTCGAGTGCACCCTGCCCTGCTTGGAGGGAGCTGTCCAGCTGCTGCCGCCTGCCACCTGTATAGGGCGGAAGAAGCCCTGAGGATGCAGGGCCCGCTGGAGTACCTCCTCGACTGATCTAGTCGCGCTGTTCCTCCCGTTCACCTGTCGTCCACGTAAGGTGCATCGCAACAGCGCCGGCGTCCGGAAAGCAATCTGTGACCTGTCAAGAATGGACAACGCCTCGGCACAGGCGAATACGTCGTGCGCTGCTGGAAACACAGCGGGATAAGCTCACACATCATCGGTTGAAAGAAGGTTTGCAGGAGCTACACCACCGGAAACGACGTGCTAGGAAATCTTATCTACCGACGTCACACGTTGAAAAAGGTCTCTTACGCGGCTTTCCTTAGCAGAACAGAAGCCGCACGAAGGAATGGAACAGCCCGCGTAGCGGTGCTTGCCTGTCACTGTCTCCGACAGTTTATGTGGAGTGTCCCCATGCCCTACGTACTTTCTCAAAGACGCCCCTAAGGCGCCGCTTCTCCTCCCCCGCTCGCGGACGGAGCGCCGCCAGCGCAAAAGCGCACCGTTGTGCCGCCCAAACAGCCAGACACAGGAGGCATACGTACCATGCGCAAAATGTAGGTGCCACCGGTGTCGCAGCTCGATTGTCACACGAGGCACCCTCCTTCCCTTGAGGCTCTGCTGCGTGTCAAAGCAACCTTTGGCCGTGCCCGCCCCTCTGGCAGAAGGGTTCCCACAATCATGGGAACATCCGTCAGGGACGGGATGCACCCGGATTCAGGCAGCAGCGGAAGAGCTATCAAATGGCGGCCTCTGCGTCTGCTGCGGCACCCTCAATGCCTTTACCGGCTAGCTGCACCATGGATCATCGCGGAAGCGGCTGGTGGTTTTGGCTCTGTTCGTATCGACCACGGCGCCGTGGAGCAGATTTACTTGTCTGCACTGCGTGGTACCCCGTTCTTTCCGGGCGACCGTGCCGCACGTCATCCGCCTCCCGCTTCCTACTCCTGAACGGGGCTTCGCGAAAATGCCTGTTTCATGCTGCGGATCACAAGGTACCTTACCGAGGCCGGCGTTGTAGGCGCGTGGCTCTCGTGCTTGCTTGCAGTCGTATCCTGCTCCTACTAGCACGACAAGTTTGTTGGCTGAAATTTACTGCTGGCGCAATCATTTTCAAGCGGGCAGTGCCTTTACGCAAGGATTGTCAGCCGAAACAGCTCCGCTGCCGTACTCGAGACCGTATCCGACTTGTACAGGTCCTCCCGCCTCGAGCCATATCCCTTGATTCGTGAGACCCGCAGCACGTGCGTACTGTGTGTATACATCGTCAAATTGTCTCCAGAAAGGCTCAGGTCAGCAGCTACTGAGAGAACAGGGCTGACGCAGTACACCTCATTCTAACTGCGTGTGCCACTGCGGTGAAGTCCGCGTCCTGATGCTTGACAAGGTGAGACCAAAGCTAGGGCAAATTGAAGCTCTCACCTTACTAATGTACCGCTCTACCGCGCCGCTTTGTGTGCGGGGGGTTTTTGAGAAACGAGGCCGTTACGTCACGCATAAGGCAACAAGATGCGAGCTCCATTTGAACTTGAAGAGTCGCATTGCAACGCACCGCCAAAAGAGACTGCTTACAACTTCAAACGGGCAGATCGGTTGTAGGCTGCCAAACTAGGTATAGTGCGCTGTTGTATTCGTCCGGTCGGAACCCATCGAGGCTTTCACACCGTTGCCACTAGGCGCCAAGCAACCGGTCCTCGGTGGAATCCCTGTGACGGAGCACTAGTGAACTGCTGAACCGCAAAATATACCGCGGCGCGCTCGACAGGGATCAATAAGATATTGACTGCTGCGTGCGCGCGCAAGCGGAGAATACAGGACGGCGGTAAAACCTGGTGCGTCTTTCGCTTACGAAGACAGGAAATGAAAAGGATGTACCGCAGTTGTCTGCCCCGGTTTCGGAACTGAGAAGACCGCGCACTGCTAGCTCGCACATATCTCATTTCCGTGACCGCCGCCTTGTAGCGACCGGATACCTATTGCTCCGCCGTTAGAACGCCCTGTCGGCGCACGCTCGAACTCTACACGGCCGTCTAGGCGCAGGGGAACATGCTCCTGTTTCCTCACAATTTCTGCCTCCCTAGCACGTTTGTCTTTGGACTACGGTATGCTTCAATCCTCTTCGTTATTCAACGTCTGTCGTGAGCCGCGCTACTCCCTCCTCGTTTCCGGTTCTCAACGACGGATTCCGGCCGTTTCCGCTGCTTGTAACTGTTTCCGTGAGCGCTCAGCGAGACGACAGCCCTGCATTGTAATCACCGTGGCCGGAGCAGCACCGGACCAACAGCGTGCGCACGTGTCCTCAGAGGTAGGCGCTATAGCGAAGTCTCTAGGTCGGCCGGAACACTACACTTAAGCGAGATATTGTAGAAATTGGGCACTGGCGACCGCGCCCGGTGCGCAGCAAGCCGGTCATGCTGGGTTGTACTCATGCACGGCCTTTGGCAAGACGTCATCCCGTGCAGCCCGTACGCAGTGCAGTGGATAGTACCTCCTTCCGGGGTTCGTCCTGAATTGAAGCAACTGCTAAAAAGCATGCCGTTAGCTGCTTACCTCAGCAAAAGCCGCTGGCCTTGCATACAACTCGGCGCACATGAACAGTCTTTTACTTGCGGCGATGAGCACGCAACCTGCACTCTACGAGTGTGTCTCGCGTATAGGCGACGGATCCAGGACTTTGCCTGGCGAATCCAAGAGCGTGTGAGGCGCGAGTGGGCCCATGGGGCCTGGAGATAGAACTGGGGTGCGCCGGCCATTTGGTACGAATACACGCGTACACGTGTTCGCGGGGCGGTGGTATGGAAAGAGAATCACGGAAAAGGCTGCGTCCGCTCTGTTCCCCCCCGTCTCCTGCTACAGCAGAGCATGGCTCGGGTCAAATCAAATAGGCTGCCAGCGGTTCAATTCTCTTGTGCGTGTGTCCTGCATGTGCCAAGCATGTTCCCGTGCTTTGTGCAAAGACAATGAAACGCAATAGCGGCAGTAGTGTCTCCCGCGGGACTTTGATGTCACTCGAGGACAAGACGACCAAAACTGGAGCACAGTACCAAAGCTGATTTTTCGGAACGCACGAGCTGGGTGTAAATACTAAGGCGCTCAGCAGTCGAGTTGCGTGTGCTACAAGAATGCGACGCAAGCAAACAGCGTACCGTACCCGTAGACTCGCTGAAACAGGTGAGCCGGTTGACGCTGGGTGTCACAGGCGTCTTCTCGCCGCTCACGTAGGGTCAAAGACCCACAGACCTGTGCTGGATGACAGGTTCCATGCACCTGGCGGCGCTGGCCTTGTGCAGGGGTTCCCCCGCAACGCCGAATGCGGCCCGAACAATTTCAGTATCGGTAAGCCGTACTGAACACATGTACGCCTAAGGCATCGACGTTGGTCTGGCGCTAAAAAGCCCTGTTGATTAGCAGCCCTGCCTTCTCCCAAGCCAGCACAACACGCATAGGAGCGAACAAACCGAGTCTACGAACCGGGGCCACAGGTCTGCACCCCAAATCATGCCTTTGAGATGCAGTAGGAGGTATGTGGGTGTCTGTTTTTTTAGCTCGCCACCTCACACAAGCTAGAAGAAACTCTCCGCAGAATCGGCCCTCTACAGGTGGTCGCATGTGGTGAGGCGCTGCTTTCACTGTGCTGCCCGCTGAAATCGCGATTGAGCCTGCACTCCTTCTACACGCCTTCCTACCATCGCGCACGCGAAAGAAGGGCGCGGACAAGCTTTCTAGCGTCCCAATTTACGGTTCTATCGTGGCAGGATGCCCTCGCTTCTTTGCTGTACTTCAGTTTCAGTGCCAGGAGCAAACAGTGCTGCACTACTACACACGTCAAAGCTGCGTCTCGTTCTGGATGACGTAGCTGCTTGGCACAAGGCTCTTGCAGCTCGCCACGCCGCGCCACATCCCATGTAACAGCCTTTGCTGCTGAGTCTCCAAAGGTAAGGTGAGCCAAAGACAAGGCCAGCCACACCCTGCAGTGTTGCATGCTTTGTAACACCGTGCTGGGCAGACCTTCTTGTCGTTGAGATCCATAGAAGCAGACATAGGCCCCACTGTCAAAAGCCGTACACGTCTACGGTTCCCAAAGTTGCCCTGTGCTGTGGATCAGCTTTCCAAAAAGTTATGGCCAGCGCATGACTCTCACGCTGTTTTCGCGCCGCTTGCGCCCTCAGCCACGGAAGCGAACCACAGTCTCCATGTCAGCACGCCACGCCGCCGGCGAGACGTCGGTGCGCCGCAACGTCGACCGGCTGCATCCACCTAAGCATTTTCAAAATTAGGGGGGATGCCGGAGGCCACATCGTGGCTGCAATAGAGTGGAAAGGCCTGGGAACCTGCGCGCTGCTACGTAGGCGAAGCCTCGCACATGTAGCTGGTTCAAATGTAGCTGTCGAGTGCTTACATCAACCTCATGGAGAAGAAGACATTATCAGCTTGACGCTGTACGTCATCGCCATCTCACGCGACAGTCGGCTGACAGGGTGGAGCGCACTGGTTCACTTTCATCATAGTGCGAATGACTTTACGGAGCGTAGTTCTTGAATTTGCTAGATGAGTACTAAAGGGGCGGCCGTCAGGTAATTAAGTGCATGCTAGGGAGCTTCTGCCTTGAAATGCCCGCGCGTACGTTCCTGCTTGCACCTGCATCCGGGCCGCCCTCGTCCCATGTACGCGCCCTTCCGTGACGGCTGGAGGCCAACGTGTGCGAGCGGCAGAGATGTAGAAGCGGAGCCAAGCTCATGTTACATTTATTCCTTGACTCAAATGTCATGCTTCTTGCCCTCGAGGCACAACCACGGCTGTTGGCTTAATTTGTCATGCGATGAGCTGGCCTGCCGCAGTTGCGGCGCGTAAAACACCATCCTGCACAGAGTCCCCGTCCTTGCCGAGCCGTTCGCGCCATATTCCCCGATCGTCATTTGTTCAGCGTCACCCTCCTGCGCGCACATCTGCTCTCTTCGCGCACTACTGACGGCGGCTGCCGCTTTCGAGCCCTCGGAGACTCCTCCGTAAGCGTCTGCAACAAGCGACGTCGCCCGTCTCTCAACCCAAGAGCACGCCGTGTACTACGTATGCTGTGCGGGACCGTCTACACCGCGTACAACCAGCCACAGTAGGTGCGGTCCCGAAGAGTATATTATCAGGTGTTACCACCTGCTCAGATGAGCGTAGTGCCGACAGCAGAGGTCGGGTTTCCTTTTTTAACTAAGCCCACGTCGTTAACGATCATGGCAACAGAGCCCTACCCGCGGCACACGTACCGTGTCCCACATGACCAAAGAGCCCGCGCGATGAGATCCCCACGCGTACTCAAAGTAACAGTTGCCTGTGCAGTGTGCCCCCGACGCGGCACCTGCTCGACGCGCAAGCAGTCCATTGAGAAGTACCGCAACACGCTTCAGCAGCGCTAAACGGGTACGCCGCGACCCGAAGGCCGAGAAAAAATTCCAGACGTCTCTCAAACGCCGAGAGGCAATTGCATTCTCTTACGTGCGCACGAGCCGCGATTCGGGATAATTGACGCTTCGTGCGGCTTCCCGCCCACCGGCATTGCAGCAGAGTTCCTTGAAATCAGGGTTCGCAATGTGATCGAATGCGTTGATGTCAAGGTAACGACCGGAGAACCGCTTGTCGGCTTCCTTATAGTTGTGGGTTTCTTCCGTCTCTTTTTAAAGCACCTGAGCCCACTCCTTGCGCAGAGGGCGTAGCAGTAAGGCCTCGGCACCTCTGACCCTCGCGTGCACAGTCTCTGCCATCCATGCACCTGACGACGCTGCTAGGAACCGCGTATTTCACGCTACTTGGGCAAGGCTCAGACATGACCGGCAACGTACGACGCCCAGGACGTCCGGCGCCGACCGCATGTCCTCTTACAGCACGAACTCGATATTGACTCAAAACATACGTCTGCAGGCGCCGTCGGAGGGCGGAGCCGTCGCTACGGATAGGGCTTTGTCCGCTGTGAAGCGCGGCAGAAAGCGCTATGGATGCTTTGCAGGACAGGATGTGCAGGCAAACGCTGGCTGGGCTGCTGCATGCAAACCGCGCTCAATCCTGCTGCCGGATGAGTGAGAACCTATTTTGCCTTGATGCTGCTTTCTGAGGCGAACATAGTATACCTATGAGACATCTATTCAGTAGACGCTTCTCTGTGGGGTCACACCGGGACGCCTTGATCCGAAGCATCATAACCGGCGTGACTGTAATCGACGGATGCTGAGAGAAACGCTTTGCTTGGCTAGGGCAACGGTACTTTTCACCGACCGACTCTCCTTTGGGAGCGAGCGTGCGTTGCCAGGACTAAGGCGGCAGTGTGTTGCACCCATCCAGCACGTTTGCCTACAACAAAGCCTCTCCAGCATTTCACTACAGGCGCACCTAGGCAAGGCAGAAGCAGGGCGCCGAGGTTTCAGGCAGCAAGGGGCCCCGCCGCCACAAGCAGCCGTCCTGACAGGCATAATTCAATGGCACACGTAAGACATAGCCCGACTGAGCTGGGCGAAGCCGTTGGTATAGGCCGCCGATGTGGAATGCCGCGGGCAGGGGAGTGCGCGACCCAGGCAAAAGTCACAAATTGCTAGATATTTCCAAGTAAGTAAACTGCAAACACCAGTACTACATGTCGTCCTACTGTATCTTTTCTAAGGGTGCTGCTTCCCTTAAACATGGGTTTAACTCCAACAGTACACCTCGAGAGGCCCAGAACTAGACACAAGGTGTATCTAAACAGAAGAGGCGTCACTGGGCCGTTCAGCTGAAGCGGACTGCATAATAAGCAGGGAACACCGTGTGTCTTGTTTTCAAACCCCGTGAGGGCGTCGCGTTGCGGAGGTCCTAGCCTTCATCTGGCGCACAGCTGCGCGTTAAAGCAAGGGCGTGTCTCGCTTCTGCGCGTGTTAACGTCCTAGGGTGGTGTGGACGTGACGCAGTAGGTTTTGAACACTGCAAACTGAGCTACCTGGTGACGGAAAACGCTGCTGCAGGCGTGCCGTGAAGGGCTGGTGAGTCCGCTGCTCTCGCCGCGCGCTCAGGCACGACGCCTTCGTCGTCAAACGTCCTAGATTCTCTGAGCGGGCT